TGACTTTTTTGAATGGTAATGTCTTTCTTTAGACAACTTTGATTCATAGTTTGTAACACAAAGTGACACATATTCAAATTTGAATAGTGCAGCAGTGCAAAAGAAAAGATTCACTTGGCTTCTATCAATCACGTCATACAGTAAATCCAAAATTCAAGGTGTGTGTGGGCCAGTGTGGTCTCATCTCATCTTCCAGGAGGACAGATTGCATAGTCATAAATTGTCTTATTTCCTTTTCCTTTTATCCTTTCAATCCTCTTATCTTTTCTCTGCCTTATAACATCAATCCGCTCTTCAAAATATCCCTAGAGGTCATGGAGAGGAAATGCCATTTACAAAAACATTTGCAAAAGATGCCATGCTTCTCTAAACAGGACATACTCCACCCATCGTCACAGCTCTCAACTGTTCTGCTCCATTATGCTGAAGAAACTTCCACTGACTGACATCCACAATAAATAATACCCCTGAGTATGGCGGTGCTAGTGTTTTCTCCTCAAACAGTAAATAAAAGAAAGCACCATAACCTTTTCCTAAACACCTGTTTGTCACTGTGATGTGTAAATTTTGCCTCGAGGTCATCACATGCAACAACAAAAATTACATTCGAGCTAATTTGATCTATCATTTAGCCCCATTTTACCTTACTCAGTTAACATAAAAAGCATCTATTAATCAACAAGCAAATGGAACCAAATATATCTGTTCATCATGTAACAGATTTATTCATGTCATGTGGATGACCAGTCCTTCCAAACAGGTAGAAATAGCTATCAGTCTTGCCATATAGGCATTGCATTTGGGACAGACATCATAACAATATTGCTAAAGGCTGCAATCACTATATAGTCTGGATCGGATCAGTCAATCGATCAACTATGGCAATTTACACATAGTCATCCCTATAAGCTTCCAGCGATGTAATACTGATTGTTAGATATATGTTGGTTGACTGCACTCTATTTATGCATGAATTCACCTCTTGAACCCTGGCCCCACACACTTTCGTTATTGCTTGTCTCTGCTGGTCAAGTAAATTCAATCCTAGCTATCCAAATTACTCCCATCAAGTTTTTTCAATAAAACACATAAAATGATTCCCTTTTAGCTTGCAGAGGCTTGTGACATGAGATGGTGACACATCGTCTGAAGATGCTGTATCTGAACTTTAAAAAAGAAGATTGAATTTGCGTTGAGGTTTAAAATTATGCACATAACGGTCTATAAAAACACTTGTGGAAAGAAAACCCTCTTTGTCTTTTAGGTCAGAAACTTCAAATACATGCAACCAAATGACTGTAAACTCTCAAGAGCATACAAGGTTTATAGTCTTTCTGGCAACGTTTGACTTGTGTGTGATGCAACTCAAACGTCTTCGACCACTCTCTTCAAATTCCAAATCATAGAGAAGATTTAAGCTCTAATTCTCTAATGAAGGCAAGACTTTTGAACACTCACATTCCACAGAATGGCCTTTCCACAAATCCCCCAGATAATAGTATTATTTCCAATTAAAATCATTGTTAAGGCCATTGGTGCCCTTTAGTAGACCTCACATCACTTAGTGGGCATACTTTCAATGGGCTTGACCATGAAATATACCAGGAAGAGGGGAGGAAAAGGAAGTTCTCAGACATCCTTTGGTCTTTCATGCTCATCAATCATACGATAAAAACCTTTCAACTGGAAATGTTTTGAGTCATGTGATTGCTCACTGAGGAAACTGGTGACAAGCTTTGAAGTATAAAGTTAAGATGGCAGCGTGCAATGACAGGTCTTCCGTTTTGTGACTTGCATTAGTTGTTAACTGGATTGAGGCAGATCTGAATGTGAGCTTGCAGTCAGTTGTACTAAAAGATTGGAAACCTGGCATACATCACCAAAGAGAAGTTGAAGTTATAATAATTTAATACAAAATTTCAAGGTGAAAAGAAATTAAAACATGAAACTTATGCATGGATGAATCATTTATAATAGGATCAATAAAATTCATTTAGAAAAAAAAGTAAGATGAATTTTGATTTCATACTGACTACAAAACCGCTGTTTTCAAGCTGTGGGTTACTGAGTGAGGAAAAGTAAGTCGCGCAAAATTTGAGAATGCTGGTGAGTTCATGCAAAGTCATGGTATGAGGCAGCTAACAGCAGTGTTTCCTGCAACATGTTATGTGGCTACAATGTAAAAACAAACTACAGCACGAGCTGTATAGTTTGACTGAAAAATGCATAATACATGACAAAAAATGTAAATAAATCCACTCGCATTTATAAGTGAGCTTGAACTCTCCCGCCAGCATTAGCATTAAAAGCATTAAAATGAATTGTGACCTGCCACTCCGGATTTTCATGATCATAAACGTTAAAATTAATTCCTTGAAGTGACCATTGTATAGACCAGGGATCCTCAAATCTGGCCCACGAGATCCACTTTCCTGCAGAGTTTAGCTCTAACCCTAATCAAACACACCTGAGCAAGCTAATCAATGTCTTCAGGATCATTAGAAAATCACAGGTAGGTGAGTTTGAGTAGGGTTGGAGCTAAACTCTGCAGCGCATTGGCCCTCCAGGGCAAGATTTGAGGAACCCTGGTATAGACCATTGTATTGTATATTCTGTTAAAAAGCTGACTGTGTTTAGAACTTTGTGGCGTCCCCTTCTTGCGGTACCCTTCAAGTGTGCAAAAACACCAATAGACATTTGGCAACCATCTCAGTTACCAGTCTGAATCAGTCTGATGAATCCTTCACTGAACGAAATCACAGAATCCATCAGAGCTGCTACTGAACCAACATATACTGAACTGCCAGTTCTGTTTCAGTGCATCATTACATTACACTGCAAAGCTGTGACACCAGAAATAAAAGATATGGTCTATTCTCTCTTTGCTTGTATAACTTACACGCGTGTCTTTGTTAATATTTATCCTCTTCTTTGTGGCTTACCATAAGCCTTATGATAATGACATGAAATTGATAAGCAGGCATACCCAAAATAATATGACAAGGAAAACAGAAAATAAAAGAACAAATGGATTTCCTCCCTCATATTTCACTAAAATGTTCTTCAGTATAGAGATAAAGTTAGTGAAAATGTAATAGATAAATTACACCCGTCAGATGGGTCCTAAAAAAGTTTGTGGAACCCTTGTATCATCTTTCATCAATGGACCTCTCTTGTATCTGTGAAACTAAACCTTGCAAAGTAACCCAGGTAGAGTTCAGCTGTCCTATGCAAGAAATTGTGAGCTTGAATAGTGTTGTGTTTTCTTGCTACTTTTTTTTGGTTCACGACACATGGAGACAATCTAATCCTCATCTGCCTGCCCCAATCCTTCCAACACCCCAATGCAGAGTTTTCCAATGTTCCAGCACATATTTCACACTTTTTTCCCCACACAGTCTGTTGGCAAAAAAGTTTTCCAGCGTTACCACGGTTTTAAGTAGGCTATGTTTGGCCATATGCATTAATTAAGTTTGACACATCTATAAAACATAATGTGGAGATGAGAAGCCTCTCATTGATCAAGTACTGACATAAGAGATAGATCTGTTTACCTTGACTAACACTGCAGGAATGTGCAGCACCGAGAATGACTCTAATCATTATCCAGAAGCTCTTAAGTATGTGAAAGCTGGTGGCCCTGTTTTGTCTCCCCTGAGAATAGACCCTTGTATGTTTTACCTTTGCTAATGAACAGATACTAAAAGCTCTTTACAATGCAATGCAATAGCGTGAATTTTTTGGACAGAACAACTAAAGTACGTCATGAGAAATGCTGTGGGATACGGTGCATAAATCTACAGTAATGCTGGTTTTGCACCTGTCCTATTTCTACTAACGAACGCTGATGGCTATCTGCAAACAGCTGACAGCAGGATGAAATAGAACGGGGACCCCTTCCCCCACACTCACAGCATATGGTCTTCATTATATTTCACACTGTCCAAGATGTTGGCCAATCCATCAAATCTTCGTACTTTTCCACTGCGCGCTGTTTTGAAGCATGAAAGCAACTTCCTAATCTATTTCTACTTAGGCTTTTACCACCAAGAGCAACAAAATGATCGGATCAGCTGATGCAAATCCTGAGATTTCAGTAAGTGTGTAGTCTATATTGGCTCATTGGCTGATGTGACGTCCAGTGGGTTTAATTAAATTTGCGCTGTTCAGATTAGCTTGACCCGATGGGTGAAGAACCTATTAAATCAACCTTTAGAAACAAAGCCGTCATTCTGAATTGATCACCCTTCTTAAATTTCATTACATGTCATTTAGCAGGAACCATTTGTGTGAATTACAGGGACAGATCCAGCACAACAGTGTCAGGATTTTCTACTCTTTAGTCCACGGGGCATCCACATCCAGAGCTGAACCTGCGATCTCTGCATCACAAACCCCAATTATCATTAGTAGCCAAACTGGAGTGCACACAGGCTACTTTATTACAAACAATTATATACATACTGAAACATTTTTAAGGGACTTTAGTTCAAACTTGTAGGCACAACCAACTGTAGATATTAGTTATATATAATATATATATATTGATAGATAGATAGATAGATAGATAGATACATATAATATCAATATCAGTTCTCCTGGAGATTAACCCATGGATCAAAGTGCAGTAGTATACAGCCTACTTTATAGCATGTTTACCAATACTGATGACCCCAAAACGGGTGATATTAATACTGGTTCATCCTGATGTTTTTAATAATTAATATTTACTGCCATATCTTAAGAAAAATTAAGAGAGAGAAATGAATATTTCAGTGGCGCAACCCTAATGTAGGTTGCTTACAACGGGGAACATGATTGAGAACATGTGTTAGTAAAATATAAATATAAATAAATATGACAGCAACAGAGTAACTTTAGTTTACACTTCTTACAATACATTTAAAATGTAAATCATTATGTGCAGGGAATCATACAGTTTGAGCCTGTGTTAAAACTGTTCACATTTGCATATAACTGTAGGTGATTCCCCTACTCACCACATAGTAGAACTGCATGTCCTGGCGAACAGGGTCCTCAGGCTGCATGACTGTAGATGAGGTTTTATCCGATCCCATGTAGAACAAAACCATAACACTTCCTGGGTAGACACTCGGATCAGGTGAAAACAGACAAAGCAGATCCCACTTGTTTTCATCAGTCAAACTCTTGGTGGAGGGAGTCAGTCCATCTGTGAAGCAGCTCCTGTTTATGGGCCGTTGGTAAGAGGTTCAGTGTCAGTGCTTCCTCTGCGTCTGTGTATCTGAGAAGTGATAGCAGCTCTTCCTGTGAAGGGGTGCTCTCTGAGTGTGTCTGTGTGCACTCCAGCTGATAAAATGCGAGTCCCTACACGCAGCTCAGTGCAGCCTCTGCTGTGCTCCTTGCCTGTCAACAACAGGAAATGTACCACTGGCAGCTCAAAGTTTGACAAGCTCACAGCCTTCACTGTGATGCAGCACCAGGAAGCACTGGGAATGCATTAGTATGGGCTGTGCCGGTGGCTGGGATCAGGTCTCGCTTTTCCTGCCATTCCCTCCTCCTTAACTGCGCATGCCATAAAACAAAGGTCTGAAGGTTCAAGTCGGTTCAAGTATGACTAGCTTTTATCTTGGTAGTAATTGTAGTACGATAACTGAACTCTGCTCCATGATGTTTTTGATCTGACTAAAATATTAGAACCAACACTATGCACACTTGATCACAAAAAACAAAAAACAAAACAAGAAATCCTTTTTGACACGGATCTCTTCAACATTTCATTAACCCTATCCTGTTTCTTATATCACATTTACAAAAATTCATATTACTTTACTGTCAAATAGGTTGCAAGACTCGTGCTCAAAGTCTTGTGTGAAGACATTTAATAAATATCATAAATGGCCTACAAATAACTTTTGTCTTCTGTACAGACCAGCTATATGCAATATAAAATACAAAATACAAACACACACACACATTGAAAATAAAAACATATAATAATAAAATATGTATTCTTTAACAAGTACACTTTTTTTAATCCCAAATATTATCCTTTCACTTATTCGATTATTACTTATACAACTTTGCTTTGATCATCTCAAAAAAATCTGAAAATCCCAAGTAGTTCATCTCAAAAATATATATGTGATCATTTCAGAAATTCTGGTTAAAAGTTTGGGGTCAGCATGTTTTTTTTTTTTTTTTTTTTGAAAGGATGCATTATATTGATACAGAATGCTAATACAGCATTGAATGAATATATAAGGTTTCTATTTCAAAGAATCTTCTAAGAATCCTGTTAAAAATGTATGCCTGTTTCCAAAAAAATATTACATAGCATTTTCAACATTGATAATAATAAGAAATGTTTCTTCAGCACCAAATCAGTGTATTAGAATAATTTCTGAAGGATCAAGTGACACTGAAGACTGGAGTAAGATCTATTGAAAAATCAGCTTTGCTATCACGGGAATGAAGCAAGTATATATAAATATTACTTCACAATATTACTATTTTTACTGTATTTTTCATCAAATAAATGCAGCCTTGGTAAGCTTCTTTCAAAAACATTAAAACATCTTAGTAAACTCCTACTTTTGAATGGTAGTATTACTCAACATTTGAAAAAAAAAAATAATAGTTTTGACCTTTTGTAATTGCACACGATGGCCTCGTGGATCAGAAACATTTCCCAGTACACAACGGAAAACAGCTGTTTACAGAAGTGCTGCGGTGGTTGTGGTTGCTAAAAGTGAGCGCTGCAGAAGTTTGATAAACAGCAAAAATGGAGGGTACAAATAAACCCACAAGGGGGCAATATTGCTCAAAATCCTTATAATGGAAGCGATTACATAAATTTGATGTGGAATTATAATATTTTGTGTGGTTTAATGACAAAGGAATACCTTTTAAAAATGAGGAATTTTTGTCACACTATAAAATCCCAGTCACAGCAACGGAATTTGCTATTGTTTTTGGAGTCATCCCTTCTGGGATTATATTTATGAAGGGTTAGTTTTCTCAGGTTGTGCCACATCTTAATGTGTTTGAAACAGTTATTGGTAAATTATCCCTTGCCACAAAGTCAGGAGTGTTCGTATTCTGTTCCAGCATGAAGTAGCTTCTTATAATGCCGTCTTTTATTGGAACAGACATTAACAGGTAACATTAACTAGGAAAGAGTGTGGATTTTGCCTCAGAAATTCTTTATGTACAATAAAATCAAAAAAGTGTCTTATAAAATGATACATCGATGCTATCCTACAAAGTGATTTCTACAAAGGTTTATTTTTGATGACTGAAGATTTGTCTCATCTCTTTTGGTATTGTGAACATACCAAGAATATACCAAGATTCAAAAACTTTTTTTTTTTTTTGTGGTAAAATTCCTGATATCTCTTTGAATATGAAAATGTTATTCTAGGTTATACACATTATGAGAGTGAACAGTCGGATGTGTTTTATTCAAACTTATTTTGTTCCTGGCTAAATATTTTATACATAAATGTAAATTTTGAGTAAGTTGTGTGGTTCCTGATCTAAAATCACAATCCCTGTTGAGAAGGCCTTATAAACAAAAAACTTGAATTTTGAGAAATTGAAAAAACTTTAAATTGAATATCAAATTTGGATTTTGAATAATATAAAATATGAAGGGGGGGGGCTATAGTTTGAAGTAGAAAAACAACACCACAACTGCGAAGGACTGTTATGCAAGAAAAATAATTTATTTGAATGATATACCTTTTACCACATAGGCAAGACAAACTTAAGCTGATTAGAGATCTCACAGCAATCGTCATTTCTGCTGGAGGGTGAGGTCTATAATACGCAAATTTTAAAATATGTCTTTCCAAGGAAAAAATAACAAAAATAGAATTCTTATTATTGTCTTGCCTTCCCACCCTGTCTTTCTTTTATTCCTAATGAACAAGGGCAATATGGAATTTTAAAAGCTTTTTCCATTCTGGCAATCTGTCAAAGGACCTTTGTGCTAGACTACTAAACTCAGGCTTATCTTGCATGTAAAAATGCGACAAAAATTAGTCTTTTGTGTAATGCAGGGAGTTGTCAACTTGTCAAGAATTGATTAAAGTCGTTGGTTACCCTTGACAGCAACCAGATGGTTGTTAACAAACTTGTTCCGGACTCCCTTTTTTCTCCATTACTTGGCACATTTGACTCTTCTGTGTTCCGAAATGGGATTCAGAATGAATACCTATCGGCTGTGCGAGGAAAGAGAAAACGGCTTGAGTGAAGCCAGTGAAACTATAGAGAGGATTTTTCACTACTCAAACACTACTGATTAGAATGTCATTAACTAGTGATTATAATCTATATGTCTCTCCAATGGATACCCTCTCTGGAATTTTCATAATTGATGCACAGGGCTTCTAACAGTCCACTAAGGTACATTTCTTGAGTTCTACTTTGTTTTGCCCATATAATACCATCTCCTTCCACTGTCCTTCTCTCTCTTTTACTTGTACCTGTGAGAATACTGTTGACATTGATAGGGTTAAGCACAGAGTACACAAGAGTAGTGATAAATATTATAGTAAATCCTTAAAAGAGTAAAAGAAACTCTGCATACTTCTACGGAAGTGCAATACCAAGGCATTTAAAAACACAGAGGCTTCACGCCAGAGTACAAGGCAAATAAACACTGGTTGTCAGACTTTTTTCATTCACTAAATATTTAAAACAAGCGTCACACACTATTTTCATGTGGTGGTATTCTGCCTCTTTTTTCACGTTATGCTTTTCATATTGTCGGAATACTTGAACGACTAGTCTGAGAAGATGAACATCAAGAAAAGATCCAACTCGATCTTGTTCCAGACTAAGAACAGATTTTTGCCAAGCACTTCCTGGACTGCTGAGGGCGCTCTGGCTCAATAGCACCAGGTTTCTGTCCACTGTCTGATTGGGAGCCAGAAGAACAGTCACATGAGGAAGGGTCGCTTCATATGGAATGGTAAGAAGAAGCAGTCTCTGAAGTCTCAGTCTCTGTGGTTGCCTGCTGTAGATCCTCTGTCTGCAGTAGTCTCCAAAATTCCCTTAATGTAGGATTACGGTCAGTTTACCACAGATGACCTACTCAAGTCCTTAAGGGAATTACCACATTTGATCAAAGCCTGCAAAGTCTTTGTGCATTCAAACGTCGATCTACAATCTGGTCTTGCAGTTACATGGAGGGCAACCATTAAAAAGTATTTTCTACTATTTTCTTTTTGGTCAAAAATTGAATCTAAACATAACACTGTTGAGCTCTGCTTCACCCTTTCCTAACGTTCACAGGTGTTTACTGCCAGTGCTGACAGAAGGGCAAGTCGGATTTATCTCTGATGCATAGTCTGAAATGGACATAAAGTGAGAAGATTTGCACTTGGATTTGAATAATCCAATGTCATGCAAGATGATCTGGAATTGTGGTCATAAGTGCTGTCTAGTTTTTCTGGAAAAAATGTGGAGGCAAGAATGAGAGATATATGAATTCGGTCTTCTTTTGCCACCCATAGGCCTCAGTAAATCTCCTGTCTGATAATTTGTGTGTTGTTGAGTGAGTGAAATATCTGTGAAGAGAATATACACTTGGACTGTAAGCCATGATGGGTTTCCTGAGTTGCAAAGAAACCCCTGAGAGATTTGACACAATCGACAGCCAGAACTTACCAGTGACCCACTGATAACACTTACTGGACCCTCTTCTGTAGTCTAGTGTCCACCCCTTGGACTTTCACTTTCTGTGCTATTCCCTCATGTTGTATTGTCCACATATTTCCTTTTCAAAGGTGTGTTTTGTCTATGACCATTTTGATTTGTTGTTTGCTGTTTACATTTCTGGCAGTGTGGGAAGATCTCTAGATGTGGGTTCAGGTGTATTGCATGATGATGGGTTAATATGACCACTTCAATCCCTTGTGTGCTGTGAGCTTATAAAATAATAGGCAGTTTCCCAAGAATAGTCACAGATATGGACAGCTTTGTGTCCGTTGTGTCTTTGATCAAGCAGTTACATTTTCTTATATTTATATCTTATACATAGTTTTTTTTACAGATTAAAATAAACACAAGAAGACATTTATATGGCCTTTCATATTTTTTGAAAAAATAAAACAAAACAGAAAAACAATGGAAAATAACAAATATAGCTTTTTGTCTTGTAAACTAGTTCCTGTACTGGTGAAAGTGCTTCATTTTTAGGGGTACCAGACCTTTCTTACAACCTTTGTGGAATGTCATACACTCCTCTCTCTGTGCGAGTTTTGTCTATTAAAACATAATTATCCTACTAAGACACTTTCTAGTCCACCACTGAAATGGGCAGAGCAGGCTTTGGCCACAAATATAGGCTGGGCTCCTAAAATAGTGAACAGTCTGAAAATATTTCTTGATGTCAGTTTCCATTCAAGAGTTTCATCATTGCATTCATATTTCCAGAATAGCAGATTTCTATGCCAGAGTTGTATATCAGTGGTGGGCTGTTTCCTTTAATACTGTCTATACTCCACAACAAACTTTCATCATCAGAGTGTGATCCCCTTGT